GTGGCAGGGACTTGCAAGATGGCTAGGTGTATCTGGCTGAGCAACCTAGTGGGTGGCACAGCAATTAAGGAAAGCGGAGATTCGATTGACTTTTTGCCAGCCAACTTCTCCACCATCAGTCAGGAAACCCCTCAGCCCTTCCACACCTGCGGCTGGCCTCCCGCAGAAGGCAAGTCCCGGCCAGTGATCACCTTCCTAATTCCAGCCTTGTCCATGCTTGGTCCCTGCTGACCAGTGAAAGTTCCTGCCAGCCAGGAGCAGGATACAGCCACAGCTCATGCAAGGCTGCCCTGCCCCCTTAGACCCATGGGTGTCTGCCCTTTGTGGGGCCGAGCTCTCCCTCCCTGTGGGCGTAGCCACTGATACAGAGCTTCAGGCTGCAAGGTGGGTCCTGTTTGGAGCTTACAGGTGCCTGGGGCCCCAGGAGGAAGGTCTGATGGCAGTCCGCGCCACAGCTGAGCTGCAGCAGGGCCTGTCCCCGAGACTTGGACATGGAAGTCACTTATCAAGAATGGCAGGATCAGATGGTAGTGATGACGCTCAACTTTGGGGAAAAACTGAAATGCGTTGAAGTATACACTATCTCTCACTCTTAGTCATTTGGTGAAAATGCAAGTACCTATAATACAGCATGTGACCACTCAACATCTTCCTGGTGTCCATGAACGGTACAGGGGTGACCCATGTATGAGCAAAGGAAGCAGGCAGCAGGGACACTGAACCAGGCAGCGGGCCCCGGGGTAATGATACCAGGGAGAAGCTGGGGAAGGGCGCCAAGGCTTGGGCTGGACCCCGGGGCTTCCTGCGGGTGCCCTCGCCAGCCCTCTCCCTTCCTGCTGGGTCTGGTGTTGGTGGGCCAGCGAGCTTTGCCCCCATTCCTTCCTTCGGCCCCTCTTAGCCGTTGCCCCACAGACGTCACCTCAGAGCATGGGCTCTGAGCCTTCTCTCTGACAGTTTGACTGGTTGGTGTCCCTCGGGTTACGTTGTTGTGAGGAGCCAACAATCCTAAGAACCCAAAACAAAACCGGGCCGCCCAGCCCTGTGCCATCCGTGTTGACCCATCGTCTTGAGGGCCTTCTGTCACTGACCTTGTACTTGTACTTACCAAGCCTGATGCCCTTCTCCAAGGACTGAGCTCACCTGATAACATAGCCAATGTAGGTGAGACAAAGTCTCACCATCCTTGCCTTCTTTTTTTTTTTTAATCATTGTTTGGGGGCTCATACAATTCTTATCACAATCCATGCATATATCCATTGTGTCCAGCACATTTGTACATTGGTTGCCATCATCATTCTCAAAACATTTACTTTCTACTTGAGCCCTTGGTATCAGCTCATTTTTCCCCTCCCTCCCTGCTCTCCCTCCCGCATGAATCCTTCATAATTCATAAATTATTTTGTCATATCTTATGCTGTCCTATGTCTCCCTTCACCCACTTTTCTGTTGTCAATCCCCCAGGGAGGAGGTTATATGTGGATCCTTGTCATTGGTTCCCTCTTTCTACCCCACCCTCCCTCCACCCTCCAGGTATCGCCACTTTCACCACTGATCCTGAAGCAGTCATCTGTCCTGGATTCCCTGTGTTTCCAGTTCCTATCTGTACCAATGCACATCCTCTGGTCTAGCCAGATAATGTAAGGTAGAATTGGGATCATGGTAGTGGAGGGAGGAAGCACTTAACTTGAGGGAAGTTGTATGTTTCATCGTTGCCACCCTGCACCCTGACTGATTCCTCTCCTCTGGGCAATCCTTCAGTAAGGGGGTGTCCAGTTGCCTACAGATGGGCTTTGGGTCTCCACTCTGCACTCACCCTCATTTACAATGATATGATTTTTTTGTTCTTTGATGCCTGAAAACTGATCCCTTCAACATCTTGTGGTCACACAGGCTGCTGTAAATTTACATATGTACATGCCTGTATTTAGACCTCTATAAATACCCTTTGTCTCCTAGTTCTTTCCTCTATTTCCTTTTACTTTCCTCTTGTCCCACTATCATGCTCAGCCTTCATTTGGGTTTCAGTAATTCCTCTTGGTTACATTGCCCTTGGTGAATCCCTACCAGGCCTCTCACACCCTCCTTTGCCACTGATTTTGGATCACTTGTTGCTCCCCTGTCCCTGGGTTGGTCAACACCACCTCCTTACCCCTGCCTCCCCCTCTCCCATGTCCCCTGGAACCATCAGTCCCATTGTTTTCTCCTCGAGACTTCATCCAGCCTATCTTATCTAGATAGATCTGTAGAGATAATAATATGCACCCAAAAACAAGGCATAACAAGACAAAGCAACAAATAAAAACACAATGATGACAACAAAAAAAGAAAATCAATGACCCATAAAAGAATAAACTTTAAAAATTTTTTTAATTAAAAAAAGAAAAACCTGTAAATAGATCAAGGTCTGATTTTTTTATCTCTAAGTGTGTCCTCCAGTCAAGTCCGATGGGGTGCCACGCTCTGGCCCCAGAGTGTATCCTTCGCACTCCCTCGGGAGCTCCCTGCTCTGCTCCCACACCACCACCACGACCACCCCCTACCCCCCCACACACCCCCTGTTGCTCTGCTGCACGCCTTTAGTGGTTTGCCTCTTTGTCCTGGGGTCAGTCTGGGCCAATCCTGACCCTGAGTCTCCAGTGTTGCCCCCTGTAGGGCCATGGGTCAGCAAGGGACGTCATGTCTCATAGTGAGCCATCCTTGCCTTCTAAGGAACATTCTGGCTACACTGTTTCCAAGATAAGATCTGTTTGTCCTTCTGGCAGGCCTTCGTCTCAGTAACGATGGGAAGCACATGGGCCCATGAACCGTCGATGGAGGTCCTGGGGCGCCCTCGTGTGGGCAGAAGTAGCATTGTCCCTCCCGCCCTCTAGCCTTGATATTTTTCCAACCGGAATTTTAACAATGAACTCTGGTCATGGAGGCAGCTTTCCACGCCCGTCACCACCCGCAAGAGGAACGTGAGAAACAGTAAAAGACCCTAAGATGTAGGGGGCAAGAAAGACTATATGTCAACCACAGAAACTTTAAAACAAGAAAGCTGTCAGTGTTTACATTCTGTTTTTCATTCAAAAAGAGGCAGGCAGGGGGGAGTGTCTGGACCACCCGCTGTGGGACTTCTCTGAAACAGAGAAGCTGGAACAGCCTGGAGTTTCTAAACCGGGCGATGCTCTGGCCCTGTGGCCGGAGCCCTGCAGCGAGAGCCTCTAACTGGCACTGGGTCACCGCCAGCCTCTGCAGAGCCACGTGGGCAGAGTGGCAGGGTTGGTGGCCGGCCATCTTCGAGCTGAGCACCCGTCGTTTTCCTAGTCCAGCTAGCAAACACGAACACCTCTCCAACACACGCCGCTTCCGGTGCCGCTTGGTCAGCCGTGGCTGAGCCTTTTCCAGGGCCAGTCTGAACGTGAGATTCTTCCCTTTGGAATGAAAGCAACCCTAAGACCTCCCTCCCTCCCTCCCAGGGTGGTTGTGGGCTAGAATTTAATTAGGGTCCTTAAGTGCCCTGTGCTTACAGGGCCTGCCCTGCAGTAGGTGCTCAGCAAATGGTACCTGCGCTGTTGTTAGCAGGATTAAAGCAGAAGACTACATCAGAATCATCTTCTCCCCTTGGAGGATCTGAAAGCGGGGCTGGTCTCCTCACATGACCCCAGGGGCCTGCTTCACCTGTACCTAAAAGTCCCTGCCCCGACATTGAACGGGGGCTCCCAGCTGCCCACTCTCTGGGCTGATTAGGTGGTTGGATTCTCTGACACAGGAGGGGACAGAGATTTAGAAGAGTACACTAGAGACCAAAATAAAACGTTACCTACTTTTTGTTATTGTTGTTTTAAATAAAAATTAGCAGGGCCCAGACTGGCGCCCTCTCCACTGCAGAGCCCAGGAAAAGACTGTGGACAACGTGGCCCTACTCTGTCTCTTTAGTAGTCAGCTGGTCTGCTTCCTGTGAGTGGGTGCCAGTGGGAAGGAGCACAGAGAAAGTCTGGACTGGTCAGCTGGGCGAGTGGACAGCAGGAAGGCTCAGCGGCCGCCATGGCGCCACCGCCCGGGAGGCCCCTGTTCTTTGCGCCTTCTCTAGGACGGGCTCCCCGTAACTGCTCATGCACTCCCCTTGTCTGTCACCAGCCACCCCACCCCACCCCACCCCCACCGGGTGGAGGGGCCAGTCTCCATGCTGGCCCTTTGGTATCTTAAGCCGCAGCACCACTTGCCAAGACCCCTTTCAACCTCTTGGCTGTTCTTTTTGCCTTTTCTGATCAGCTGTGTTTATTGTGAACTAAATGGGTCCTCACAGCAGGATGAAGGGGTTTACTGCTGAAGCGGATGAAAAGAAGGCTTGGCAGGATTACAGTGCACCCTCTCCTCTCCCAGCCCCCCTTGCGCCTCCTGCCCATGCTCCACCCCCTGGCTGGTGCCACCGAGACTGGACACAGTTCCCATTCCCAGAGCAGTGTCAGCTCAGGCCATGGCCACGCCCAATGGATGGAGAAGACGTGAGGTGACTGGGAGGATGGCTTCCTGTGCCCCAGAGGGTCCCGGAGGGCTAGCACCACATCCGAATGTCTGTCACACGCACCCGTCTCCCTCTCCCCCACCCCTTTCAGGAGTCACTGGTGGTGCCAGTCATGAGCTCATGTGGCTGCTCAAAGGGCTGGCAGTCCACCCAGGGGTGCCTCTGAAGAAAGGCCTGTCAACCTACTTCCATACGCCCTCTGCCAGGGCCAACCCTGTGGAGAAGCAGAGTGCCCTCCTTGGGCATATGTTCTTTCAGGACTGTCCCCATGGGGTCAGACTGACAACAGCCACGGGAAAGATGGGACAGGGGCTGGAGGGCGAGGACAGGTGCACACCGGAAGCACCTCAGGCACAGGTTGAGACTGTTGAATGGGTGTGACTTCTGTGTATCTGCTCAACAACAAAATTCAGTAACTGAAGGAATGGAAAACCAAATGGCCCAGGGCGCAGCCCTGCTCTGAGCCTACGGGCAACGGGGGGTGTCTCCACAGGATCGTGCTCCTAGATGACGCCATGGACTGCCTCATGTCCTTCTCGGACTTCCTCTTGGCCTTCCAGGTCCAGTTTTACTACTCAGGTGAGAGGCTCCTGTCTGGGCCCCTTCACGGCCCTTTCTGAAATCTGCCCATTTGGAGCACGTTTCTCACCACCACCTCCTGGAGGTGTGTTGCTGTGTCCACTCTAGGCCCCTAACAAGAAGTCTAGTTACTTCAGGTGCCCCAGATCCAGCCCGGGGGGCCTCCTCCCCCAGCCTGGCAAGCCCCTGAAGCCCAGTTTCAGTGGGACCAATAAGACAATAGCATTCCCTGTTTACCTAAACTTAGCACAGGCAAAGCTTGCTAAACTGCACAGCAGACCGAGGACAAGGGGCTTTTTATCAATAGAAGTGGAGTCAGGTGGGGGAGCCCCAAGGTGAAGAGCCCAGGTCCAAGTCTCCCCCTGTGCCCCGGACTCATGTCTGTGACCAACGCCTTCTCACACCCTGTTCCAGTGCACACCAATGGTGTCCCAATCAGGTGGAATGAAAACAGACGGGAAAACACAAAGGCACGCCAGCTCACACACTAGTGACAGCAAGTGGAATGCTGGGCCTGGAAACCGCTGTGTCCACATACATGGGGTGTCCGAGCAGGCACTGGCTGCCCTTGGGCCTGGAGTTGGCCTTCCTGTCTCCTCAGGGCCTGGTCAGGGAGGGGCTGCAGCCCCGGAGGCAGGGTCTCAAGTGTCCACCGCCTCTCCAAGCCCTCCCGGAGGACAGGGCACACCTGGGGACCCAGCATGCATTGTGCATGCATTGTGCGTGAAGACCAGCAGGAAGGATGTGGGCCAGAAGTCAGCAGTTACTCACAATGGCTCCATTACGGGACCAGTCTCCAGTGTCTCACAAAGAGCGCACAGTGGGTTCTGGCTTCCCACTGGCCTCTCACCCTGCGCTCCTCCCGCACCAGGCAGGGAGCTGTGATAATGGAAGGATTCGGGATGGGGCCCCTCCTGGTCGAGGCGGCCAGGAACAGCTGTCTAGACACTGGACACTGGAGCTGACACACAGCAGTGCCCCTCCCGAGGCTGCTGGTCTAGCAAGTTGGGGGGGGGGGGGCACCTGCAGCAGGCATGGGGCCAAGTGCACCCTTGCAGCCTGAATGGTGTCCACCCTCTGTCTCCAGAGTTCTTGGAGAGTGTGGCTGCCATCTACCAGGACCTGCTGTCTGGCAAGAACCCGAACACCGTGGTGGTGCCGACATCGTCCAGTGGACAGCACCGCCAGCGGCCCACGTCAGGCGAGGCCAGCATGCTGGAGGGAGTGGAGGCGTCGCTGTTCTGCCAGTGCCTGGAGAACCTGTGTGACCGGCACAAGTACAGGTGCCTCCACCCCGGGTGCAGGTTGCTGGCTTTGGGAAGATTCCCGGGCAGGGTGCGGGGGGGCTTTGGGGGACCTCAATAACCATCCTGTCAGCCTACACTCTGCCCCCAAACCCCAGAACTGACCCCGGGGAGAGCCTTTGTCCACCAGGGAAGAGCAGCAGTGTGGGGCCCTCTGTGCCCGGGGATGGGTTTGGCTCTGGCTTTGTAGGAAGCATAGTCCTTTGGGTTAAGACCTCCCAGAGAAAGGAGCATGATCGCCTTCAAGACGAGCCAGTCGCCTCTAGCCGCTTCATCGTCCTAGCCCAGCATTAACACGTTAGGGAGCAGGGCGCCCTTCCTGCCTGCAGTCTGGACACCTGCCAGGCTCCCCCTGGGGCTGAGGAGCCCCCCACCAGGCAGAGCCCTAGGTGGAGGGATCAACAGCTGGCCCTCTCTCCTAGCTGCCCACCCCCTGCGCTGGTCAAAGAGGTCCTGAGCAAGGCGCAGCGGCTGACCTTCTATGGGTTCCTTGTGGCTCTCTCAAAGCACCAGGGGACCAACCAAGCCCTAGGTAAGCCAGAGCTGGGCAGTGTGGGAGCTGGCCTTCGTGCGCAGATGGGGTCCCACACAGAGGGGAATTCACCATCTCTACCCTAACTTCTGGGGGCCCACCTGAGTCTTTGGGGGGCCTCGGAGGCCCCCCAGGTCCACTGTAAATGCCCTGCCCCAGCAGGACACACAGCCTTGTCTCCCCGAGTGGAGCCCCACCTATGCCCCCAGGGTGGCCTGTGGGCCAGCTGGGCAGAGACCTGACTGGTGACCACAGCCAGGGGCTGTCTAGGAGCCAACTTTCCAGTTGGAGGGGAAAATCGGATTCATCTGAAAGGGGGGACGGATGGGAGGGGGGACACTGCAGAGCCGTTTTAGCCCTGTTTCATTTTCTTCTCACCAGCTGAATCTTCTCTGCCCACCCCACTCTACCCCTCTGCTCACCCAGAGGAAGAGCCATCAGGCCAGCCCTGTGGGAGAGGAAACTGTGTTAAGCACCACCCACCGTAGGCCAAATACCATGCAGGACACTTTTTGCTGGGAATGCTTCAGGCCTCCCAAGACTGACGCCAGCCCCATTCCGGCATGCCCACACCTCTGGCAATTGAGTTATCCTGAGCTAGGACTGGCATACTCTGGGGCCTTCCAGTGAGATTCATAGCCAGGGTCCCTGGCTAGACTAGGAAGAGAAGGGAGTGAAACAGGAGCCACAGTCAAGAGGAAATGGGGGGGGGGGGGCACTCCCTCCCTCAGCTCTCTCACACTCCTAGGTAACAAGCTCTAACCCTCCCTCTCTCCCTCCCCACCAGCATGTAGGGGAAGCTCAGTGCAACTGGGCCCCACCCCTCCCTTCTCCCCTTTTGGAGTCTTCCCAAAGGAAGGTCACTACACTTGGAGCAGTGTGGGGTGGGGTGGCCCTCCCTTGAGAGACCCCTGTGGAGATGCTAGCTGGGGAGAAGAGCCTTGTTCCTTTGGTCCTCCAGGCACCCCCAAATGAGAGGATTCTGTGGGGCACCGCTTGAAAACCACATTAGTCTCAGGGACCAGGATCACTGGGAGAGTCAGGAGCTGAAGCTGAGCCCAAGGGGTCATTCAGGAATGTCTTCCCAGAGGCAGGCAGGGGCCAGAGCCTAAACACCAGAGAACACTTTCCTCCGACTGTTGGCTGGTGCCAAATGCTTCCGTGTGCCCATTCCAGCCAGCCCTCCCCACCCTCGCCCACTGGTAACACCCCTTCCCTAGATCAGCAGGGAAGCCTCCTGGGGTGGGCTGGTTTGAGTCTGCCCAGGGCACCTCATGCACAGCCACCCCCAGCCAAGTGTCAGAGGGGCTGCAGTAGAGTGGCCAGACTTAAGGACTTGGAAGAAAGGCCTGGCCATCTCCCAGCAAAGCCAGGCACTGACAATCCAAGATCACAATGGTTGGATCGGCAACTGATCCCAGGTGTGGCCCCAAACCTAGTGGCATCTGTTGTTAGGCATGGGGTACCAAGAGCAGCAGCAGTCTACAGCTGAAGAAACAAGTGAAGACCCCAGTGTGCCCCCAGCTTGCAGAGAAGCTCTATGGTGAGCAGAGACACAACTGCCCCCTGCTGGACACGCAAAATCCAGGGTGGTGTGATCCCACCCCTAGCTTTTCTGCTCAACGGGGCCTTCCAAACTCACTGTCAAGTAGATGCTGACTCAGAGCGGCCCTAGGACAGAGAACTGCCCCTGTGGGTTTCCAAGACTTCCTCCCGAGGAGCGGCTGATGGTGTTGAACTGCTCCCAGGAAGAAAGAGCAACGAGGACACTGTGTCTTACAAATAGGGCCACCCTGACTTTTGGCAGACTTGTGACAGTTAGACGTCTTCTTAGCTAGATCTCTGCCCCTAGAGGGGGCAAGGTTCACTAACTGGGCTCCAGGACCCCTGGCCATGACCGCTCTGACCCCTGTACCAGCTCTCCTGCACCTTTTCAGAACACTTGCCAAAATCTTTTAGGCCATGTTCCCAGGAGGGAGAGTCAACAGCCTGCTGGGAAGCCCCCAGGTGATGTGCTGTCTCCAACTCTCCTAGGAGCTTTGCCTGACAAGGGGGACCTGATGCACGACCCAGCCATGGATGAGGAGCTGGAACGGCTGTAAGTACCGAGCTCCCAGGAAGATGCTGCCCTGGTGGGGAATTGGGCACAGGGTTTGTCTGAACCACCGGTGCGGTCAGGGCAGGGTTGGGGGCTGCAGAGGCCTGTGGTTTTTGGGTCCCCTGGGGCCACAGCCCCTGGTTCAGCTGCATGCACATGGAGGCGGAAGTGCTGGCTGCGGACAGGAGGCACCTCCCTGACCCCCGGGCTTCTTCCCTCTTCCAGGTTGGTCCAGGTCCCAGGCCTGGCCAACTCAGTCACCGCCAGCCCAGAGACCAGCTGCCTGCCTTCCAGGACCCCTCCCCGGGGGGCCTCTCCCTGGAGACCCCACCACCACCCCCATAAGGTGGATGCAGAGAGTGATGGCTCCACTGAAGAGACAGACGAGTCTGAGACTTGAGTCTGGGGAGGGAACCTACCGCTGAGCCCCCATCCCTGGCTCCCTGCCCCCCCCACCCCACCCCCAAGCCCTTGGGACTCTCCTGCAACCTCTACAGCGCTCTGCCATGCTTCCCTTTGCTGGCGAGGGGGCTGGATAGCAGTAGCCCAAGACCTACCTCAAGGGCTCTGGTGACCAGCCAAGTCCACTGAGAACCCTAGAAAGTTCTCATAGGCCCTCAGTCTCTGGTTGGTCACTAGGAACAGGGACTTGACCTTCTGCTGAGTCTTCCCGATTTCTTGAGGAAGTCTCTTTGCTAAACCTCAGATTCCTCTCCACAGCGGGGG